CCCCCCCTTTCCGTCCATTTTCCCCTGTAACTTCGGGCTGTCAGACTGGTACACACTTGTATCTAACACAAAACCCTTCTTCCGAACGATCCTAGCCAGACACAAACTTCCTTGTGTGTTCTTCCATGTACACTCAAGGAGGAGGGTACTATGTACACACTTGGGTTTACAGTGCAGAACAACCATCCCCCGATGGTATTTACATACTTTGCTCAACGATGTCAGCTGACTGTGCAACTTGCAGAGCTGCCGGACTTCTGATACGTCACACCTGGAGTCGACTTCAAGCAAAAGTTCGTGCAGCAGACGGAAAGCGGCGGTCAATGCAGTCACACCTGCGGCGTGGCACATCTGCAGCACGCACACGCACACCGTACTAGGCAAAAACGCGTATGCCTGCAGCGCGTACTTGGCTGCAAACAGCCAACTGGAATAAAGTATCAAACTGTTAAAAAAAGTTGTTGGCTGAGCGATTATCGAAGCCCATTACTCCACTGACCGAAAAAGTTTCATTCTGTTTGTTTGTGTGTTTGTGTGTTTGTCTGTCTGTCCGCACGATAACTCCAGAAGGAATTGAGATAGCGATCTGGGAATTTCAGGGTCGTTTTGTATCATAAAAAGACAGATCAAGTTCGAAGATGAGCATTCTAGCTCAAAAATCGGCTTTTAAAAAAATAGAAAACTTCAGGTCGCAAAATGTATTGTTATCAAATATATTTTTGCCCTGTGGGCGAAAATTTTGTCCGTTTGGCTCTATCTTGTACCGTTTAGGTGCTAGGGGGCATTTCTTGACAAAAATGAGGTGAAAATGATCAAATGGTGGTAACAGGGCAACTCATCCCGGCCGTTTTCGTACCTACGACTACTCGCACCCGGTCATTTCGTCCTTAAGAAGTTAGGAACAGTGATTATTTGTACCCAGACACGTCGCACCTAAAGACTCGATATTTTTGTCAATCACATGTATGTGTTGATGTAGAATTCAGTAAAATCCACGCAGCTTCTTGTACAGAAGTTTCCTTTGCTCAAAGAGAACTTGAAACAAAACATTTTCAACAAAGTTTTGTCATCAACTTCTTTACCCTCGCGAAGTTTTTCTATTATTTCGTTGTATACATGACAATGACTGACTAGCTACTGTCTTAGTCAATAATAAGAAGCGCGACATTTAACCGAACTTAAATTATCTTAGATAAATTGACAGTCATTGTTAAATCCAAAAGCATTAAATTTCATTAAAGTAGAAAATCTATCCGCTAACAATTGTTTTAAAAATATATTTAAAAATCAAGAGTCGATCTTGAAAGCAGATGATACAAATTTATGAATATGGCTATGTTCTTATTTTTTCTCATTAGCTGCAATCTGTTTGGTTGCTTGCAATCTTACAATTCGGTGGCCTTGTGGCGTAGAGGAGGACATATACGGGGAGGGGCAGGCAGGACGGCTGGCGGCGGGGGCCCAGTATTGTTAGGCAGGGTAAGGAAGGGGCCTGACGCGACTCTCAGCCAGCCGGACACCATTCCCCTAGCGCACAAATATGTGATTTCTGATTTTGCTCTTAGTTCTCTTCCCTCCTTACCGAGAGTTAAAACTAGGTGACACCTTAAAGTTACTTATGGAATCTTTATATTTAGTGAAAGTATAAAAGGTATCTGCTAACAAAAAATCAGAACGTCGATACCCTGCGGTAAGGTTGGGGCTTTAAAATCGGAACACCGATTGTTAGCTAGTGCGGGTGAATACATGGGTTCGGAATTTCCCATGGTGAATTGACTGGGTTCAAATTTTCTGAGGGTGAATGGACGCGGGTACGCATTTAAATGGGGTGAGTTGGCGTGTAATCGTCTCATCGAGCGCCCATTTCTTAGCTCCGGCATTAGGGGACAGACTTTCGTTCCGAAAGTTGTGTGGAGCCGCCAATTGCTCGAGCGACTCCGCACAAAGTCTGTGTTGTTGATACGAGTACATATCATATGTTTCCATCGTGCTTTTCGAAGAAAGCGACGAAACACGTGGTTGAGGTCCTGGCACAATGTTTACTCAATTTACTTGTTCAGTTGACTTTGCAATGAGGCAGCGCACAGGAAA